TGCCACCTTTTGTGCCCAAATATGTGTGACACCAACTTATGGTGGTTTGACTCACAATTTTTCAACTTTGCAATGGGGCAGAAGCAATACACATTCAATAGAAACTGTACTTTGAATTTTGAATTTGGATCTTTTTCTAGGCTACTGATAATGTGATCCTATCTTCTCTCTCGGTGCTGGACAGGGCAGTGAGCCACAGCTCCCAGACTGTCATGGGATCACAAGGAAAAAACCACCATCTCTCTACAGAATGTTGTGTTGCTAAGCAATGATGTTTGGTCGGTCAGGTATACTAGATACATTTTCATCATTGATATTTTCAATATATGATGGGTTTACTGGGACACAATCTCATCACAATTTGTTATAGTTTAGATGTGAGGCATCCCCCAAAAGCTCACATGTGAAACAATGCAAGAAGGTTCAAAGAAGAGATGATTGATTAGGTTATGAGAGAATTCAATCAGAGAATCAATCATCTGATGGGATTAATTGAATGGTGACTGAAGGCCGGTGGGGTATGGCTGGAGAAGATGGACATTGGGGGCACGGCTTTGGGGTATATATTTTTTATCTGGTGAGTGGAGACTCTATTTGCTTCCTAGTCTTCCTATGAACTAATTTCCTCTGCCACACTCTTCTGCCGTGATCTTCAGTGTCACCTTGAGCCTTGAGAAATGAAGCTAGCTGTATATGAACCGAAAACTCTGCAATTGTGAGCCCTCAAATAAAATTTTCCTCCTCTACAATTGTTCTGGTTGCGTCCTTTAGTCACAGCAGTGAAGAAGGTGACTAAAACACAAGTGGAGGAATATCTAAATATGAAATCACCTAAGACATTGCCTGATACTTAATAAGTCCTCAGTAAATACTAACCATGTAGTGAACCTGCTAAATATTTTACATCAAATCTTTGATTTAATCCTCATAACAACCATTTTAAGTGCCTATAATGTGTTCCCTTTTTCTTAGAAAACATAGGATTATAGGAGGTTAAATAGCTGCTCAGGGTCACCTGTCTAGAAAGAACTTTGCCACATAAGGATTCTGCAATGCTTAAAGCCGTTCATTAACTCTGGGTTCAGGTGCAAGTAGTCAGTTCTCTTTCCTTTCTAAGCTGAGTTCAAATTCACATATTCCTCCTCTCTGGTATGCTTTCTCAAGAGAGTATTTGAGACTCAGGGTGCTTAAGGGACTTTCTCAGTAACACCAGCTGGTCTCTACTCTGATAAGATCCAGAGGCAGCCTCAAAGCCCAATCTGCTTCTTCCATAGGTGAGAACTAGACTGAGTCTGGATTGTACGTTATTCAGAAAGACATCAGTTCCCAAGAAACATGGAAAAGAGCGGTTAAGCCATTTCAAGGAGTTGAAAGGTCTTATTTACAAGAGACTGTTGATGTTTCTTCTGCACAAAGCATTGAGAAACTCAAGATGAGCCAGGCACATGGCGCATGCCTCTAATCCCAGCAGCTCAGGAGGCTGAGGCAGGATCCTGAGTTCAAAGCCAGTCTTAGCAAAAGTGAGGTGCTAAGCAACTCTGTGAGACCCTGTCTCTAAATAAAACAAAATAGGGCTGGGGTTATGGCTCAGTGTTCAAGTGCCCCTGAATTCAATTCTTAGAAACCCCCCCCCCAAAAAAAAAAAAACAGATATTCAAGATGAAGCCAACCAATTCCAAGTGGGAACAAAAGTCTTAGGGCTGCTTTCTCAACTCTAACCACAAAAAGGTTTCTCTCTAATAGACCACATTCAAATACAATAGGCCAGGACAAAGCAGTATAGGAACAGCTAAAATATTTTACCCAGTTTGGAAATAAAACCAATCTCACTGTGAATCAAAAACAGTTTGTGGAAATGATTGAGTGAAGTACAAGTACACAGTTCTAAGAAATAAACCCTGGAACAACTCCCAACAGAAGTCAGTGCTACTATTCTTTCCCCCGCCCTTCAACTGTTGCTTGTGACTCAAGGAATTTGTACCCTAATTTCTGTGAATACTAACTGGGTATGGGTGTAGAGCAGGTAAGAATGAGGGCTTTCACATAGGGTTTCTATTTTGAAGCTCCTTTCTCACCCAGGAGATGTGATCCAACTGTCCAAAATGTCTGTGTTCTGGAAAGTAGGACATCTGTCAGGAAAAATGCATCCATATTCTCCAGGTAAGTCTGTTCCCGGGGTAAGAGTCCAAGGCCTGAGTGTGTGGCTGGCTGAGCAGCCTCTCTTAGGAGGGTGGTTCAAATGGAAATAAGGCTGTGGCTGTGATGAGAAACCTCACTGTTCCTTTCTTTTAAGCTCACAGAGTGCTCCAGAGATCATGTTCCTGAGATATTTGCAATGCCTAAAATAAGGTTCAATGTTCCAGACATATTTCTTAGAGACACTAGAGAAGTCAATGTACTGGAGTTAAAACCCACTATTTTTTACCTTGAGCCATGGGGCAAAATATTCTTCTTTGTTTGTTAGGAGCACAGAATTAGAAAACAACCTAAACTTATGTACATAATCTATTTTTTTTTTTTTGGTACCAGGGATTGAACCCAGGAGTATTAAACCACCAAGCCACATCCCTAGCCTGTTTTAATTTTTATTTTGAGACAGGGTCAAGTGCCCCTGAGTTCAATCCCCAGAAACCACCCCCCCTCAAAAAAAAAAAAAAAAACTCAAGATGAAACAAACCAACTCCAAGTGAGAACAAAAGCCTTAGGGCTGCTTTCTCATCATTAACCACAAAATGTTTCTCTCTAGTAGACCATATTCAAATCCAATAGGCCAGGACAAAGCAGTGAGAACAGCTAAAAAGTTTTATCCAGGCTGGAAATAAAATTAACTTCACTGTGAATCAGATCATGTTTGGGGAAAGACTTGAGTGAAGTTATTCAGAGTCTCTTTAAATTGCTGAGGCTAGCTTTGAATTTGTATCCTCTTGCCTCAGTCTCCTAAACCAGTGGGATTACAGGTGTGTCCCTCCATACCTGGCCTCATATACAAATTCATTGACAATTTTTGAAAATTTCTTAAAATAGCATGTCAATGTTTATTCAAATACTAACAATTGGAGCTTAACCCTTTACAGATTAAACCTTTTTTGAAACAAGATTTAAAGGATACCCAAATTATAATATGGTCTTATTGTTAGTCTATATAATATTCTTAATCTCCATTGAACTTCAACCCTGGCTATCCCTGTGCTTTTTCAGGAGACTTGATTTTCACATTGAATTTTTCTGGACTTAACAAATAAAAAACCCTGTCATTTGTAAACACTGACTGCAAACTTAGCAAGGCACGGAAGGGAGGTAATGAGATTAAAGAAGTTTTCCCTTCAGCTTGCAGAGTTGAAATCTTTATCCCAAAATCCAGGGTGCCCCAAGGGCAAGCCTGAATAACGTCTAGAAGACCTGACCTACTTGTTCCTTCAGGCCTGAACCCTAGGACCTCCCAGGTTCCTCCATCTCCATGAGTCATGCTCTATCAAGGAAGGCAGCTGCTCAAACTGGAAACCTTTGCTTTCATTTCCCAGGGCAGCAGGATATGGCCTATCACAGGACACTCCAACCAGGGCCTCACCCAAACTGCCACTCATTCCATTTATAGTAACAATTAACTTCTCCTTTTACAGTTCCGTTTGTTTGTGGAATGATGTAATTTGGGGAAGGTGATCTTTTCCTAAGTTCAGTACAATACATACTCGGACAAAAGGCGGGTGCTGGGAATCAGGAGTTGTTCAGGTTCTCTGGGAACAAACACACTTGCTCCTAGCCACACCTCCGCTAGCAGGCTTAATTTAACAAGTGAGAGTGATGGCTGGATACATGCTGTTCCCATGGAATGATCAATTGAACTTGGAGGGAAACTTTATAGAACATCGCCTCACTAAAGATAAATTGGCATTACGGTCTGCCTTGAGCTTGCCAAAAATCCACACCACTTGGAGAATGGAAAGACAGTGAGTATGTGGCAGAGAAAGCACAGATCATGAATGAGTTGTCATGCCAATGGGTCTTTGGGCAAGATTCTTTTCCTCCTGAGCCTTTAGGATGGGGGGGGGGTGTGACAAGGATCATAGGGCTGCAGTGCCTGTGCTTAGGCATGGCTCCTGTGCTCTCAGCTTCAGGGCACTGGAAGATACCAGGGGGGACTATCACCTTGTGATTATAAAAGTGCCCATTGATGGAGAATCGGTGTCGGCGGATCCGCTGGGCCTCGCCAGGTGCACGGCACTTGGGCCTCCTCTGGATCATACAGCTGGCATCACTCTTGGTCCTCATCAACTGTGGTACTTCCTCCTCTTCCTCCAGGGACCCTATGGAGAGAAATGGACCAGATGGTGGCAGAGTGGAGGGCGGCGGCAGAGAAACTGCCGTGGGTCTAGCCACCAGGCCACCTTTGGGATTTGTGAGGCTCCCAAGAATCCTGTGGTCAAACCACACTGCAGAACACAATGGCATTAGTGTTAGAGGCAGGGGCAGAGCTTGGACAATTTGCAGACAGTTTGCAGACAGGAATGTGTAACTTGTGTCACATCATGTGACCATAAGCCTCCCTGTCTGTCTCATGGAGCCCAGCAAGGTCTTTAGGCACTTCAGACTTGTCCTCTGTGCACCCACTCCTTCACTGAGTGCTAAGGGAAGAGGCACAAAGAGGACAGATGAGCGATTATGAATGAAGCCCCCAGAGTCCTAGGGCCAGGAGGGCACCACGCCTTCTGCTGATGTTCCTTCTTTGTATAGCATTGACACAGTGCAGGGGACTCAAGGCACTGACACACTGTGACCCTTCTGCAAGTCTCTGTTCCCTTTTCCATAAAGGGGAGTAAACGAGGTTGTAAGCAAAGTGCTTTCTATTAGAACGGGTCACTCCTAAGATAAATGAAGCCATTTGGGGCTATTCCACAAGCCTGCACTTTGGAGACTGTGGTTGTGCATCAATCCCCTCGTTCCCTGGATGAAACAAGGTCCTGAAGCTCCTGAGCTCCACTTACCTGAGCCATCTCTGGAACTCTCAGCTTTGGGCACAGTCTGAGTGCTTGGTTCCTCAGCAGTGATTTTGCTGTCCTGGGGAGGTGGTTCCTTTCTGAAAAGAGACAAAAGCTCAGGTGGCTTAGGCCAAAGAGATGAAGCTGGCTGCCTCTGGGGGCAGGATACAGGACAGAAATGGGCCAAGCTGAGACAAGTGAATGCAAAAAACCAAAGAAATGCAAATTTTTCCCACAGGCATCTCCGGGAAGAGCAAATGTCTAGCCCCATAGACCCTAGTGGCCATGCTAGGCTGCAAGATCTAGACACATGCACAGGGCCAGTGCCGTGCATCTCTATGCAGCTATGTACCCAGTGGGCTCAGCTTCAGGGCCCTGAACAATTTTGAAAATTGAGTTTTCCAAGGGCCTGGTAGGGAGTCAGGCAGAGGCAACCTCCAAAGGGCCATCCTCCACATTTCTTGTAGGACTGACCCCATGCCCATATAGTCCATGCCAGGATGGAGAAAGAACAGGCACAATGGGATACTGCCTGCAATAAAGCGTTACCAGGAAGAATCAGACAGGAGAGTCCAGGCGAATACATGGGCTGCTGTCTGCAATTGCTGATAGCACCTGGGACCAGATTTATTTCAGGAAAGGAACATGGGTCACACTACTGCTTTTCAGGAACCCATAGCTCTCCAGTTTTTCTTTATGCTTTAAGTCTGTGTGGCTCAAAATTTGCTACAAGTGACGAGGGACACATGGGGATATGCTGTCTCATGGAGCCCAGAAGGTCTTTAGGCACTTCAGACCTGTCCTTGGAGCATATGGGGATATGCTTATGTGTCAACATGGTGAGTCATCCCAGAGCATCTGTTTTACCTCCAGGTTTGTAGGGGGCACAGCTCTGAATGCTTGCCTCTTAAAAAGAGGCATACTATGCAGAAACAAGCAAAGTGCCCTTTTGAGAGGTAGGAGTGTGGGAGGAGGTGAACGTCCATGAAACAGTTTGTCCTTCTGATCAAAACATTCTCCCGAAAATAAGTCTGATCTTAAACTCTAACATATTTACAAAAATAAAATCTGACATTAAAATAAAATAGAGTGGTAGGAAGCTAAATTTGTGTGATTTCCTAGTCCCCCCTCCCCCTGCAGTTAAGGTTTGAATGGACTTGGAATGCAGCTCAGTGGTAGGGTGCTTGGCCCTGGGATCCCCCTCCAGCAATGTAAAATGGAGGTGATGGAAGCCTAGGAATGTTCTGTGAGGGAGACAATGTGGTTGTTATCTAGCAAGGTTACCCTGGGCAAGGCTGCATTTTGTGCACATAAAGTGAGGAAGGACCGAGGTAGTCACAGGACAATGGAAGCCAGGCTGGGCTACGCTCCCATGCCAGAACCTGTCCAGAGTGGGTTGTCCACTCTGAGGCTGAGCCTATCCCACAAACACCCTAAACAGTAATGCTAGGGTTGAAAGGTGTCATGAGGCCCACTGACCCCACTCTGCCCTCTGGGCACTCACAGTGGGCAGCTGGGCTGTCCAGGTGCCCACGAAGCTGAGGGGAGGTGCACTCGCTCCCGGTCATCTTGCATCTGGAGTCGGATGGGCCGTCTGAGTCCCCAGGCGATGTTGAGGAGTCCCTCGATGATCAGAGCCCCTTCCTCCTGTGGGGCCCACACACATCAAACATCCACCCCAGAGCAGCCACCCTCAGAGTTACTGCCCATTCTTCCCATACCCACGCAGGGACAGGACGCTCAGGCGAGCGCCCAAATACACTCCTTCTCCTTGGCGTTTCCTCATCCGCCAAGGAAGAGCTGCAAGACTCTACGTGCTCCAGGACAGGAGGCCAGGGCCCTGTGGGAGGAAGCCTGAGGCGTGCTTTCCACTGTCCAGCTCTGGCCTGGCCAGAGGCACAGCCAGGGTCAGAACAGAGGACTGAGTCAGGTGTCCCACAGGAACCCACAGCTGTCTAGCAGGCACGTCCACACTGCAGTGAGGAAGCGTGTTCCAGAGCAGCACAGTATGACCACCTGTCCACCCAAGACACTGCTTTGCCTACACTGTGCAAGGTTCCTATTTCACCAGATCCTGCTGGATCTCATGTGTGCCAGGACAAAGGGCTTCCTCCTCCAGATGGGTCTCAGCCCTGTCCTTCTCCCCACACTTCTGATGGCAGCAGTTCCCATTTGTTGGGACTCATTCTACAACCAGAATTCCAACTGGCTTTTTTCCTGATAGCTGATCTTGCCTTTCTCACTACTTCTAGGACATTGCCAGTTCCAAATCCCCCTCCAGTATTTCTGTAAAACCTCTTTCATCCTGTGTCCCCAACCAGTCTTGGTTTCCTTGGTTCTGCAGATAGAACAGCTCCTTCCCTGCCACTCAACCTGAAATCCTAATCCACAGAACCCTCTGCTCCACAAGCACCTTGGTTGGCTCTGGCTCACACACCCCTTGTGTCCTTAATTCTTTGTCTCTGACCTATTTTATGGCCTCAGTCTCTCAGTGACCATCTCAGATTCTCTGCACCCATTTGGATGACCCCATAAGTGGGCTTGACCAGGCTTCCTTGAACACCCTCCCCACTGAGCCAGAGAACTTAAACATCATTCTCCCATTACAATCTCATCCAATATTGTATTTCTTTATTTACTTATTTGTTTTTGTTGTAAGAACATACAACACAAGACCTGCTCCTTTAATGAATGTTTAGGCGCATAATGCAGTATTGTTCACTCTAAGCACTGTGTTGTCCAGCAGATCTCTTAAACTTATTCATCTTGCATAACTGTAACTTTATATTCATTGAACACCGATCCCCATTTCAGCCACCCTCCCCCACTGTCCCTGGTAACCACCGTTCTTCTCTAGGCGTCTGTGAGTTTATTTTAGACTTCTCACTTAAGTGGGTGGAATCCTGCAGTTATTTTTGAACAACATTGAGATTCACAAATTTCATTTCTCTCTCCTCATGAGCAGTGAAAGCCCTATGAGAACAGGGCACTGTAGAAATTTCTTCATATCTCTGGCAGTGTTTACAGAGGTGCCTTGCAGGGTTTGGAA